AGTATTTTAAACTGTATAAAAAAAATTGAAATCAATTGTGAAAATCCATTCCTTATATAGGACGTTCTCTCCTGTTCCTAGACCTTATATACATCAGAATTAATGAGAGTGAATATAACAAACAAACCTTGGTTTTTACAAGTATAATCTGTGCTTATTAATATTATCTTATCTATCAATATATAAAATTGTTACACGACCATCTAGATCTTATATACATTAGAATTAATGAGAATGAATATATAACAATCAAACCTTGGTTTTTACAAGTATAATCTGTGCATATTATTAATATTATTTATTAAATATGTAAATAAAAGTCCTTCTAAATTGTTATACTTGATGAATGTTTTATCAATTATTTATAGTTATATAGCAGTTGATTGAAGTGTTAAAAGCAAGATCTATTAAGCTTGCAAAGTGGTATTATATATATACAGTCAAAGCTCTCTATAATGAACCCCTGGACTGAGAATTTTGGTTCGTTATAGAGAGTGTTCACTATAAAGAATTGATGATCATCTCATTTTATGATCACGTGATTGTGTTTTGAATAATTTATTGGCCAATAAAAATTTTTGTTAAAATAATTAATAAATGTTTATTTAGCATAGTGGAAGTTCTTTGTTACACAATGTTATGCAGAACCCGTTGCTCTTGAAACTTTTCCAGTATATATATAGTTGTTACTTTTTATTGCCAGAATGTTTGCTGGGTATTTTAAAGTTACATTGCACAATATAAAAAATTTGTGTAACATTCCAAATTTCCACTATGCTTGTTTATGTTACATGGGAGTTCATTATAGAGCCATATGGGCTAATCTGACTCATTTCACTAATTAAATTTTGGTGATAACAATGGATTTGATCTGCAGCACAGATCAATATTTGTATAGAATCAAAATTCATCCAATAATAAACATGATTTTATCTAAATTTCTTGCTTGAAAATATGCTCAGAATCAGTTTAGAATAAGTTTTGAAATCAGTTGAGTAAGTATCAACATAACTCGTTTTCATTTACATAACTGAAATTTACTTATACATGATTATAATGATAAGGTTTTGAAATGGCTGAAGCCAATCAAAGCATATTTTCAAATAGACATATAATGGTAACTCAAGATGCAACTGATTTAGAAGGTATTTATTTATATGTATAATAAATTCTTTGAAATATTCTTTTAATAAGTTTTTTAACAAAAAGTCAATTTTTATTATTATAGTAATTCAAAATGGAGATAATACAGAAGGTATTTTATAAGTTTAAATTTATATAAATATTATTTATTTATGTTAATAAGTTTTTTAATGAAAAGTCAATTTTTATTATTATAGTAATTCAAAATGGAGATAACAGAAGGTATTTTATAAGTTTAAATTTATACAAATATTTAGAACAAATTTCTACTATAATATATTAATTGATATTTAATTATTAGATAATTTTTCTAGTAGGATTTTTGTCCACAACTATCCAAACAGTTCAATAATTGAAGCACATTATGAGTCAAATGGAAATTGTTATTATTCATATTATAATGTTATTTCTTTAGGAACTTATCCAACCAATCCAAAATTAACTCAAAAAAATAAATACAATAAAGTACAATACCCTATACATGATAATTATATAATTGAAACAGAAGTTGCTAATTGTAGTATTAGATGTGAAACTAAATATGACTCATTTTCAAAAGTATGTTTTAAAATTAGTTGGAACAAAGGATGTATAGAATGGAATACTTATAGTACAAAAACTTCCTCAGCAGCTGTCAATTCATTTTTACAAGTATTTTGTAAAATATTTTGTTAAATTATATCATTAAACATTTTGAAGTTTATATTTACTTTATTAGATGATTGGTTGGAAAAAGTGTTCTAGGCTTTCTGGACCTTGAGTATTTGGTTTTGATATTATTAAACCATTACATGATGCTTGTTTACAAGTTGATTTTAGCTTTTTAACAACAACAATAAAACTAAAAGAAAAAACTTCTTGATGAAATTACTTCTAATTCTCAACAAAACAAATGATTCAATAGTTTTGGAAAAGATGCTTATGATAACATCAATAAGATAATTCAACAGATCAACAAATTGTATATGTTCATAACATTAAGCTTGAATATAATGGAAATCAAGTTTTTATTAAATTTAATCCAACAACTAATCAAGCCAGGCTTGATGCAGTGGTTTGTGCATGTGATAAAGCATTGCTAGGTTGTGATGGATATCGTAATTTAGCTGCTGTTGTTCCTAATATTTATCATGAATATTTAGTAGCAGAAAGAAGAAATGAAATTAATGAAATTATAAATTCTCAGATTCATATAAAAACATTCAATACTAATAATGAATCATGTGAACAATATACAAATGAAGATGATTTTGATAAAATAAATAGTAATATTTGGGTTGAAGATGTAGAAGTAGGAAATGGAATTTTTTGTTCCATTTCAACTTTACTTAAAGTATTGATACCATTTTGGAAATCAGGTGAAAAACCAGTAATTTACTGTAGGTGATACACTTCATATAAAACCTGGTGGTGATGGCAGGAATGTGGGAAGAAAAAAGAATCATGTGTTGTTGACTTTTTGTTTATTAAATGAAGATAATAAAGTATTAAAACCAGAACATCAATTCAGGTAAATTATATATATATACTGTATATATATTATTTCTAATGAAACAAAATTAGATTAACCAATTTATTAAATTTATTGTTAGTATATGTCTTTATATAGGCAAAGAAAAATATGAAACATTAGCAACAGTTTGTAAAATATTTGATTCACAAATAATTTCTCTTAAAGCTCATGGTATTATTGATAATGACAATATACACTGGCCAGTTGAATTTTACTTCTCTGGTAATTGGAAATTTACATCAATTATTATGGGTTTAAATGCACCAAATTCAACATATTTCTGCTTATATTGTGAGTGTAAATCCAAGACCAGATATAATATGGATCTTTCTTGGCCAATTACAGGAAATAATAAAGGTGAAATCATATTTTGTGGTTTTTATGGAAAATAAAATATAATAATTTATTTATATTTATTTATATAATCAGGGAAGAAAAATCCTTCATTGTTCACTTCAATTGAATTACTTAATTATGTACCTGATGAACTACATATTTTATTGCAAATAACAGATGTATTAATGGAGTGTTTGTTCAAAGATCTGTTTAAAAAAAATAATTTTGGAAAGGGAATTAAAAAAAAAATAGAGAAAAAAATGAGTCATATAAATGTTCATTTTGAGTTTTATCATAGTGGTAATAATAAAAGTGCTTCTTGGACTTGGACATCTTTAATGGGACCTGAAAAAAAGAAAATTCTTCAGAGTTTTCCTGTGAGTGAATTTGTGACTGGAAGTCATGGAATTGCTATAGAAAATTTATGGCATCAATTTTTTAATTTGCATGAAATGTTAAGGAAACCATCATACAATGAAGAAGATATAATCAAATTTGAACTTGAAGCCAAGAACTGGGTGAGATCTTTTTGTCAACCTACATTAGGCATAATAAATTCTACATCAACAATTCCAGGGCTTTATAGAAAAGAGGATGTTACTCCATTTATGCATATTCTTACAATGCATGTGCCTTTTTTTTGCATAAATTAAACAACCAAGGTCTTTCATTTAGATTATTTTCAACAAGTAGCATTGAAAAAAAAAATCATGAATAAGTATATATTTCATTTTTAAAATTGTAGCTTTTAGACTCTTTAATAATATTTTTTTTAATAATTCTTTTATAATATTTTTTTACCAATTTTATCAGGTCAAGTTGTTTTTTGGTGGCACTACAATGGGAGGTGGTAACAAAACAAAGCCTGTTGTTTATGATATGATGGTATTTGAAAATAGGCAAATATTTTATTTGCTTAATAAAGTTCCAAAAGAAATTACATGTAAAAATATCACTATATCTAATGATTAAAAAAAATTTAATAAAATTAAATTTTTTTTAAAAATTATTAGAGGTTTGAATGTTTTGATTTTCAATAGTACATAAAGGAAAACATGGTAAAGCATCTCTATGTTGTGACTTTGTGATGGTTGATGGCTGATTATGTGAATGAACAGTAACTGGTTGGAAATATGCATTATATATTTTATGTAATTCATGATTATGGTTGATTGATTGGTTGTTGGATGATGATATAGCAAAATTTTCTTGACTAAGAAAAAAAAAATTTTTTATAATTATAATATTGAATATTTACTCATTTATGAATTCTCCTGAATTACAAATAAAACTTATTGAAAAAGAACCAGATAAAAAAAGGCCAAGTTATCTCTAAGTTCTTTTTGCTTCCAATTTATTTTAATTTTGTATTTTCCATCAATGTCTTCAAGTAACACATATCCAATAGTTTGAGTATTTGTATTCATTTTGGAAATTAATTGATCATAGCCAAAGATGCTTTTCAATCTTTCACCACCTGCTGCACCTTCTAAAATACATTGATATTTATGTTGACTTGGATCCGGGTAATGTTGAATCAGCAACAGATGACAGCAACAATGGAAATTTTATTAGAACATGCAAAAAAATTTTTGGATTGTAAATTTTGTTTTTATTAAATAAATTTGTTTGATTTTTCATACATTGTTCATTTTTTGTCACAATCATATATCTTAAATTTGTTGTGTTTACAATCATTCATTGACATTCATTATATTAAGGTTATTTTGATTATATCGAGAGATATGGTCAAGAGAAAAGTTAGGAAGAGAGTTATTCTTCAACCAAGTCAAAAACCAACCCTTTAAATACATTTTCGAGTAGTACAATTTAATTTATTAGACTATTTCTTCCAACTTCTTAAATTCGTTAATGAAACAATTGTTGGTGAAGTGATTGTTGACAAAATGAATCAAACCCATATTTATTTCTACGTTATCAAATTCGCGATTTTAATTGGTCAATCAACAATTGCATGGGTTAAAATTTTGTATTCCCTCCTGTTAATTTTTGTGTTCCCAGTACATTCTCTCCTGTTGCTGGTAATATAGAAAAAAGTAAAAATACTCTTGATTTAGTCAACATCACAGAAAGTAGGAAGCTGTAAACACACACAGTCAGATCACTTGTCTATTTCTTTCATGTCTTGTTTAATTCTCGTAGTGTGTTTCCCGCTTTGACTTCCAGCCACTGGTGCAGAAAGTTTGTTCTGATAGTAAGACTCTAAGCTGGTCCATATTCTACCATCATCTAATTAATAAAATAAAATTTTTTTTTCTTATTTATTACTTTTGAAGACAATAATAAATTATATGTTTTTAATAAATAAATACAACCATTACATGGAAAATGTAAAAAATTTTTATATGAAAACTCTTAAAATCTACAGGTGCTAAAGAGTAAACTTTTTTTTTTACTTAAGTAAAGACAAAAAAAAAACTGATAATATGTTCTTTGGGATTTGTTTTGTTTGTGGACGTAAAAAAAAATCATGTGGTGGAACAAAAACATAGTACAACTTTTCATGCAAAGGTACCCAATTAGCTATTTTTGTGTCAATTTTCCCTCATTTTTTACTATGTATGACTCACTCATTTATTTGCGGATCATCAATTAAACCAGTACCTTTTTTCCTCAATGGCATATATCCTTTAGGTCCCCAAAAAAAATTTTTTCCATCATTAAAATAAAATATTGACTCATCATGAGTAACAAGAATGTGCCTTCTTTCACCAGGATTCAAGGATGGTTCAATAATCATCATTATATCATTTTCATCTGGCTTAGGCATCAATCTTTCAAACACTTCCATTTGGGTAAGGAATATTTCTCTGTATTTAACAACATCATCCCTCTCATGACCATCATAATAAATATCTTTATGATGTTTTTGATAAGTCCACCCAAGTTCTTTTAACCATACCCTTGCAGTTTTCTCACTAATATTTTTTTTCTCTTCAATACCAATTTTTGGAAAAACTTCACTTTCAACAAATTCTTTAAAGTTCTTAACTTTAATATCACTCACTTGTTTCACCAGGTATTCTTGTAATTTTTTATTTATGTCCTCATTCCATAGGAGTGATTTTATCTTTGGATATTTACCTTGATTAGAGGCTGGAATTGTGCCAAATTTTAAAAACTGTTTTGACCAATTACAAATTAGTCAAGCACGATACTCTCCACCTCCAATACTTTTGGAAAGTAATAAACTTGCTTCCATTTTTTTACTTCCCATCAAACAAAGGTTAAAATATTGGCTAATAATTGAGCCTCTTTTTTTTTTAGATATCAGACAAGTTTTTATCTTTAAGGAGTGAATTTAAACATATTAAAGCTTCTTTGTAATTCACAATATCTTTCTCATCAAAATTATTATTGGATTCATACAAATTGATTGTGTTATCTATTATATAATTGCTTTCATTATCTTCTTCACTTATAATCAACTGATTGCTTTCCACTTTTTCAAAAAAACTTGTTAGTTTCATTGTATTTGTAGCTGCCATTTGATTTTGTGCTTTTTTATGACAAATAGTTCTTTCTGAATTTCCCACATACACCAAAGGACAATTAGGCTTGGAAAGAACTTTATTACTAGCATTTTTTATCATCTTCTCAAAGATAGAAATATCCAATTCCTTAATTGTGTTATTTAAAGTTTTGCTTTGCCAATTATCATCATCAGAATCACTATCAGAAAGTTGGAAATCAGAAAGTTCATATTCATTTACATTTTCAAACTCATTATGATCTGATTCATAAATAGTTTTATCATCATCAGTTTCTGACACAAAATCAAAAGGTTGTTCATGCAAGAGAGTGTTTTGAACAAATAAATTATTAGGTTTATTTTCATTTTTTAATTTTTTTGAAAGTCTAGCTGTTTTAATCTGGGAATTTCTTTTTTTTGGTGGCATATTTAATCAATACTTAAAGACAATATATGTAAATTTATTGGAATGAATATTTGAGTAAATAAAAAATATTGACGCGTTAATGTTACTGTTACACGATTTTTTAACTCTGACCAGAATTTAAAAAAGGATCAGCAGATGTCATAATTTCCGCCCAAATTTAAGTGGCCAAATTCCTCGTGAACATAGTAAAATACATGTACAAAAAGGAATAGAACTCAACAACCCACCAATATTTTGAAAAAAACTCTCTGTCACATTAAAGCTTGGGTCCTAATCTATGTCATAACAGAGCTATTTTTTTAAAAATAATATACAGAAATGAACTTCTATTCTTTTAAAAATCACATGCAAAATTGGTGGTTTAAGAGGTCCCACACCATACAAATAAAAAAAAATACCTCTGGTTAGTTATTACATGTTTTCTTTAGGAGACCCAAACCAAACCAAACAACAACGTTTGCGTTTTGTCATTTTGGACTCTGTCAAAAAATAAATTGTTTTTCCAAGAAAAAAAAAATCAATTCACGTCTGTCCTACCAAAAAAAAAACCAATAGGATAAATAATTAGTGTGTATGCATTGATCATATCACAAACTTTTTTCAGATTTCAAAGTTAAAGAATGCCTCAAAAACACAACACTAAAAGCAGAACCAAAGGAAAGGAAATAGCCGATTTTGCTGGGTAAGTGTTTTAAGGATGGTGATGGTGGTTATCGCCTGCCACTTGTCATCACTCTAGTTTAACATTAAGTTAAGTTTGGATGGAAGGTCTGTGTTCAGTTCGTTATGAAAAAACTTGTCAATCTTGACTAAAGAAATACAAATAAGGAAATTGTTTGGATAAAAAACTATGAACCTTTCTTATATATATGTATATTATCTTTAGTTTTACAAATATATTCAAATTTTTAATTGAATTTAATTGGATAGAATTAAGAGTGATTATTATTTGGTATATATATTTTAAAAAGGAAAAAAATAAGAATATTATTATTTATGATGATCTTATGCCGTGATCCATTTTTTTACATATTTTTTTTTTGAGAATTGCTATTTCTCACCGGTGGTGATTGTCACCACCTAAGGAGTTTAAAGAAAGGAAAGAAGAATATGGAACCTGTTCTGTTTGTGCAAGATATAATACTAATTACCAGTGGTGTCAATCCATCAGGAAAATGGGTACAAATATTATGTGTATATAATACACAATTGCAGGGAATAAGCATATAATATGCATACAAATTGCGTATTTTTTTATGTATGCAAATTGTACATATATTATATGCTTAATCCCTGCAATTGCATATTATATACGCATAATATTTGTACCCATTTTCCTGATGTTATGTGATCCCAAATTGTTGGCTCAAAGTTGGAGTAGCATTGGTAATGAAAAATTGGATGAAATAATCAGAAATACACAGCTTGAAGCAAAAGGATTTGATAGTTATCATTATCTTGAATGGATTCCTTATGACCAACTCACAGTTGGAGAAGGAGTAGGTGAAGGTGGTTTTGCAACTGTGTATAAGTGTTACTGGTCAAATGGTCCTAGATATGTTAAATGGGGCCAAAGATATTATTGTGTAAATGGTTATGTAGCATTAAAAAAGTTTAAAAACTCACAAAATGTTTCTGAAGAATTTTTAAAAGAGGTAAATAATTTGATGTAATTAATTAACAATTAAAGACTTTTAAATAATATATTAATTTTTTATTAAATTTCATAAAGCTTCAAAATCACATTAAATTTATAGGGCCTTATCACAAGGGTGTTGTTAATATTTATGGCATTTCACAAGATCCAAATACAAAAGAATATGTTCTCATAATGAGATATGCAGACAAAGGAGATTTTAAAAAATATTTAAAATCAAATGATAAAAGTTGGAATGATAAAATTAAAAGACTTCATGATATTGTCTCAAGTTTAAACACATTTCATCAAGAAAAACTTACCCATGGTGATCTTCACAGTGGTAATATTTTATATTTTAAATATTTACACCAGGCAATGATTACAGATTTAGGGTTATCAGATCCAACTAATCAAAAAATATCAAGTAAAAATGGTATAATTGGAGTACTGCCATATATTGCACCAGAGGTATTAAATATGAAGTCTTATACCCAAAAATCTGACATCTATAGCTTTGGGATCTTAATGTCAGAATTATCAACATGTCAACAACCATTCAAGAATCA